GAGACACAGGGGAATGATCACGTCCCCTTGACCGACCCGTGTGCTTCGCCACACTCGAAGCAGGGGGCCATGAAGCCAACGCCTCCTCCGAAGGGCGCGGCGACCGCGCCCACTTCGCCTCTCATTCGAGGGCGGCATCTTCACTCGCGGCGCACTTCCTTGACTCACGAACATCGCCGCGCACCTCCATACCATGCCCACCACCAATGGGTATAGTCGTGGGCTTACGGCACTCCACTAAGGTCACAGCAACGCCCCTATCTTCCTCATCCTCCGAGGAACTCGTGTCATCACCCATTTCCGTGGGCTCCTCCGACTCGAGCTCTGCCTCCACGTCACTCCGGCTATCACCACCACAAACCTGCCGGTTGATCTCCTTCTCCTTATCAGACCTCCTCCGGTCCTTCTTGGTTTTCTTCTTCTTCTTGGCAAGTGCGGCCCCCCTCTAGGCAGCTTGTCGAACCGCGCCTTCTGGCCCTCTCGGAAGATGCGACCGGGATTTATAGCCCGTGAGTCCCTTCGAAACGGGCAACTCGAACTCAATCAAAACATCAAAACAAGAAGGAAAAGGTCACGGAAAAAAACATACCAAATTGGATAGCTTCGTGGCATAGAGGGGTCTGGGCGTCCCTTTGAGGGAGTCTTCACCCCTCAACTGCAGCACCCGATCGAGATGACTCCAGATTTCATCCTTTGATAACTCCTCCGGCGACGCGCCGTCGGGATCCATCAGGCTAGAGTATTCCCACATCGGTCACATTCTCTCCGCCAATGGGGTGACCCGATGGCGGAAGAAGGTATGGAAGACTCGCAACCCATCAAGGCCATGCCGCACGAGCCTCCGAAGCTCTATCTTGATAATCTCCAGCTTGTTCTACCGATGGGCAAGGCCCCACGACCAGCTTTCCCTCCTCTCCGGCCTCTCCCAGGTGAACGTCGGGAATGGCGCCTCCGCCGGATTCCTAATATAGAACCACTCGCCGTGCCACCCTCGGTTGGAGTCATAGGGGGAGTACGCGGGGTAGGGGACCGATGGCTTCAGCCTCTTCTGCAGGGCAAACCCCCCAACCGATGCAATTCTGGGCGACTTCCCCTTGGACAGGGCTCGCCCACTAAAAATTCGCCAGAAGAAGTCCACGTGTGGCTCCATCCTGAGGAAGTCCTCGCAGACGGTGACAAAGACAGCGATGTGCAGTACCCCAGTCAGGTTGAGGTGCTACAACTCCAGGCCCCACTCGTTGAGGAGCCCGCTCAGGAACCAATGCGCGGGATACCCGAGCCCATGCTCGTGGAAGGCAAGGAAGGAGATGACCTCATCAGCTTGGGGTTGTGGAACAACCTCCCCTAGTGCAGAAGCCCTCCAATGTGCCACCTCCTTCGATAGGAGTAGCCCCTTCTTAGTGAAGGCGGCCAGCACCTCCTCATCCACGTTGGAAGGCCTCAAGTTTGACATCGCACCTCGGATTTATGAATGAATCTATGAGTTTTTCCTCTCCCTCGCTCTGCCCTCCTCTCTCCTAGAAACCGCCGTGGCACACGAACAGGCTTGACAAAAAGAAGGAAGGAGAAACGGCAGCGATTGAAGAAAGATGAAAGAACGGGAGGAAAACCCTCTCCCTTCCCCCTATTTAATGTGGAAAGGCGTACGACGGGGCGTGGCCCTGGCTGATGGGACACGACCTGCCTAACGAAATGTCGCCTAGCTAACGGGACATGGCCTGGGCGGGGCCCACCACTACTGCAACACGGGCATGGGAAACAAGGCGCTACCGCACACAAACGACCCTCCGCCTTCTCAGGTAGGGTTTAGAGGGGCCCACCGATGGAATCTCCATCGAGGAGAGGCCAACAGGTTACCTGAGTCGATCGGACGGCTCGGGCGGCTATCGAGAGACAGGTAAGGAGCAGTGGGATGCCCCATGCGGGTAATACCGACCCCGTCATGAACGACAGACACTGATCCCATTTGGACATATTCGATAGGAGCTCCCCGGACCCGTCACTCGAGCCATCAAGGTAACTTTACCAACCCCCGTTCTACTTTTCCAGTGCATGAGCATTTATTCATCCATTCTCATGCATGCATTCATCCATACATTCATCCCATATATCTAAGCATTGCATATGCAATTGTTGCATCACAATGCTTCGTGTCGTGTCACGAAGCGGTAGTCGTCTCATTCGATATGCGACGTCTGACCGAGGTTCGAAGGCCAGCCCGCAAAGGGCTCGAGGCCGCCTCATGTCAAATAGAGTCAGGGGAGAAAACGCAGATGAGCCCCAGTGGCCTTCGCCCGATCTGCTCAGAAGCAGACAAGGTTATCTCTACCTTATCATTCGATCCTAACCTCGAGCCATGCCCATAGAATCTCTATCGAGGGGAGGCCAGCGGGCCACCTGAGTCGATCTCTGGAACGACTCGAACATCTACCGGGAGGCGGGTTAAGGAGTAAGGGAATGCCACAAGAGGGCTATGCCGACCCCATTACGAACGATGAACCCAGATTCCACTCGGACATGCCCGTTAGTGAGCTCACTGAGCACGTCACTCGAGACATCGAGGCAAGCGACGTTAGCTCAACCCCTCCGATTGCAAAAACCACGGATGGCGTGACGCACGAAACTCGACCGACCCCTACCGAGCCCAACGGGGCTTGGGGGCTCGGGCCACCCAACCCCGACTCGGAAGTGCAGCCGACCGCACAGGTTGCGATTGGAATGGACACGGGCGAACACCCCGACCGAAAAAGACACAAGAGTCTATAGCCCCAAAAAAGAGTACCAAGGTACTCAGCCTCCGACCGACTCCCTAGTCGGCCACAGGCTTGGGGCTACACCCACCAAGTGCGCTCGCGCGCGCCCGGTGAAAAATGGATTACCAGCGAGTCTCCTGTTCAAGGGCTGGGTGCAAATATCCCTCCGACGCGTCCCCACGGCCTTCGCCAGTCCTCCCCACGGAGCCTGGGCGCCCATATCCACTTTGCGTGCCTCCACGGCCTTTGCCAATCCTCCACATGGAGGCTAAGTGCCTAAATCTTATTCGGTTACCCTACGCGGTACAATAAACCAAGGGAGAAAACACCAAAGTTCCAATAACAACCCCTTCACATCTTCACAGAAGTCCCAAAGGGGCTCGGGGGTTCTTGTCGAGTTCATAAACCCGAGGTCCCCAAGGGACCTGCTTTCCTACAAAACTCAGCCCAGCAGGCAGCGCAACAACAGCACACGCCAAGACCGGCCCAGACACACAATAACAGGCCAAGACCACAATCTGGTCCCTGGCCGTCACCTCCGACCAGGGCCTCCCCGAATGGGCCACGACCCGTCACAGAAAAGAGGGATACGGAGCTAAAAACTCTCCTACGACCCGTTTAGGCCCAGGAGTTTAAAGGTTGGCCCACCGATGGATTCGACAACCACTCCAGACACCTTTAGAGTGAGGGGTAGAAAGGGCCGACCTCTGGGTCGGAGGCTCAGCCTCGCCCTACCTTTGGGTCACGGGCTCCGTCTCGCCAGACCCCCTTTCTACGATCGAGGTTACGCCGGACCTCTGCTCGCTGCTCTTTCCCGACCGACACGGCCGGGGCCAACTGGGAACAACTGACCAGGGACGCCCGCTCGGTGTGGGCCCAGGGCGTAGGCGTAGCAGATAAGATAAGGCGTTCAAGTCAACCGCAATACCGAGGATCGTACCTTGCCATATCCTGCGCACCTGCAGGATGGTACCACCAGGCTATGACAGACGGATACTCTACAACCTTCCAGACGTGTTAAAGCATAAACAATGTTGTGGCGCCGTCGTTGGACGTACTAGGCGAACACGGTAGAGCCTGCTAGACACGTCTGGGCATAAACAGTATTGTGGACGCTGGCAGCCATCTCATACCCGACAGCGTTGGCAACAAGACTAGATAGCACACGTACGTACTCTCTCTCTTTCTCTCTGATTTATAAGGCCATTCCCTTCACCTATAAAAAGGGATGCGCTCTCTCTCAACAGTGAGAGGCTAGAGGACTCGAGAACCTGAGGACTCGAATAACTCAACAGCTCTAGAACTCGACAGCTACACATAGCATATACTCTAATACTTAGCGCACGTTAGAGCACCCTTCACTCTCTTTCATTCGGTTCAGAGTCCGACCGGGCCTCTAACACCCTTCTCTCATTCCTTACTCGTTTGTAACCCCACACCAAACTTTGAGCACCTGGGCTTAGGAATGAAGTCACCGACCGACTGAAACTGGACGTAGGGCACGTTGCCTGAACCAATATAAATCTTGTGTCATTGAGTGATAGGCCACATCCGATCACAACGTATGACAAAACTACAAATATTTACTTGTCGGCCGCGTTTCGCACCGACAGTACTTCTCACTATTTATTCATAGCAACATTCAAACGGCCAGATTGCTTTGAACGCTGAAAATGGAGCACTGTACGCAGCAGAGTACAATGGCTTGCTGATGCTGCTTGCTGCCCAGTGCTGTCCAGGAATGGACTCTGACACGCCGGGCCCACGTAACTAGAGCTGCGCGGCCCCACCGCTCCGGCATCCCGTCGGTCACGCCGCCGCCACACGTGCGCTCCACGCTACTTTCACTGACAAAATGGGCCCGCGGAAAACGGCCCACATGCCAGTCAGCGAACCAGGCCACGCGTCCACGTGCCAGGCTGCCAGCTGACGGCGAGTGCGACACGCCGCTGTGCGGCCCGTCGGTCCCCTCGGCCCGTCGTCAGCCGATGCTCCGCTCTCCACGTGCGTCTACGCCACCCTCCTCAGGAGACGTCTTCTTCAGAACCCGCCTCCTCCTACTGGCGCAGGCGCGCAGCAGAGCAGAAACGCTCACTGGTGTGGTGGCTGGCTGCAGTGCGGCCATCTATAAGCAGGCCGCGAGCGCGCGCTGAGCCGTCGAGCCATCACCACCACCGCAACCGACAGCTCGCCACACTCCTGCTCACCCCACCCATCTCTCGTCCATCTCTCCCATCTGCTGCAGCTATGGCGTCGCCTCCGCCCGACGTGGACCTGGGCAAGCTCAGCTACGAGATCTTCTCCCTGCTGGAGAGCAAGTTCCTCTTCGGCGGCGCGCCGGGCGTGGGCTCCGTGCCGGGCACGCCGGGGCGGGCAGTTCCGACGCCGAGCCCGGGCAACGCGGAGGACAGGGGCAGGGTGCGGGTGCTGGCGATCGACGGGTGCGGGCCGGGCCCCGGCGACGCGCTGCTGGCGGCGGCCGCACTCGCGAGGCTGGAGGCGGCGCTGCGGGCGCGGGCGGGGGACCCCGACGCGCGCGTGGCCGACTTCTTCGACGCCGCGGCGGGCGCCGGCGCCGGGGGCGTGCTGGCCGCGATGCTGCTCCTGAAGGGCGACGACGGGCGGGCGCGGTACACGGCGGCGGACGCGCTGGCGTTCGTGGCGGCCAGCCTCGGGAGGCCCGGTGGCGGGTGGGGCGGCGGCGCCGGCGTGGGGACCGGGGTCGGCGAAAGGCTCCGGAGCAGGTGGGCCGCGCTGTTCCGGCGCGGGGAGAGGTCGTCGAGGTCGTCCGCGCCGCTGCGCCGGGTGTTCGGGGGCGCCACGCTCCGGGACACCGTGGCGCCGCTGCTGGTGCCCTGCTACGACCTCGCCACGGCGGCGCCGTTCCTCTTCTCCCGCGCCGACGCCGTCGAGAGCGACAGCTTCGACTTCCGCCTCCGCGACGTGTGCGCCGCCACCTGCGCGGCCGGGGGCACCGCGGCCCCCACCGTGCGGTCCGTGGACGGGCGCACGGCCATCGCCGCCGCGTCCGGGGGCGTCGCCGCCATGGGCAACCCCACTGCGGCCGCCATCACGCACGTGCTCCACAACAAGCACGAGTTCCCGCTCGCCGCCGGCGTCGACGACCTCCTCGTCGTCTCCATCGGTTCGGGATCCTCCTCCGGCACCGCCGCAGCGGCTTCCGCCACCCCTTCCGCCGGCGGCTGGCGGACGCCCATACCGCCGCGCTCCCCGTCGCCCGCCGAGATGGTCCGACTCACCGCCGAAGGCGTCGCCGACATGGTAATAACCAAACCACCTCTGTTCCGCCTCCCTGATTCGTTACTTGTCAGTACATCACACGGCTGCCGTCCAAATTTATCTTCATTATTAACCGTGGTAATAAAACACAAACTTTTTAATTACCGCGCCCCGGCCTTGTGCAGGTCGACCAAGCAGTGGCCATGGCGTTCGGGCACACGTGCGGGCGCAACTACGTTCGCATCCAGGTGGGTGGTCAGCGGAATTACCACATTACTCTGCTTTTTTTACTTTCTACCGCCATGACGTCGATCTCCTCGTCGCGTTAAATGTTACTCCGATCCACCAGGCGGCGTCGCCGGCGGCGTGCTCGGGGAAGGCGCTGAGGTCGCTGGACGCGAAGAAGGCGGTGGCGGCAGCGGACGGCATGCTGACGCAGCGGAACGTGGAGGCGGAGCTGTTCCGGGGCCGTCGGCTGTCGGAGAAGTCGAACCGGGAGAAGCTGGACGCGTTCGCGGCGGAGCTGGTGAAGGAGCAGGAGCGGCGGGCGCGCAGCCCCGGCCTGCTGCCCACCGTGGTGATCAAGCAGGCGCCCACGGCCACGCCGCGGCCGTCGTCCGCCACCACCGCCTCCTCCGCCACCGCCACCGGCCGAACCGCCTCCACCATGCCGTCCCCGGCGTCGCAGGACTCCTACCAGCACTAGCCACCGCCCGCCGTGCGTCCACTCTAAGTTTTGTACATGCCGCCGCCCGCCGTGGACAGAGGAACGGATTTGCGTTGGGTCATCCCCTTCCCCCTCTCTTTTTTTTTCTCCCATGTCGTTGGCCATGAACCGTTGACAGGTGGGTCCAGGATGAGCCGAAACGTGGTGAAAGTAATTTATATGATGTAGTAACTTATATATGTTGAAGCTTGAGAAAAGGTGAAGGATCATTACCATCGAGTTTCATGCACCGACCAGTTCAGCAAATTAGCGTGGAGCGATGATTAGAGGACAAGTCGAGGTCTTATTATTATTGCTATTACTTAGCATGCAAAAAGGTGGATTTGGATGCTATTCAAAGTGTTTAGTGGTGGCTCCCTTTAATCTCCCTCCAAGTAGATTAGAATGGAAGCCAAGGCCCAACCCAAGGGAGGCTGGCCTCTAGCTAGGCTTAATGGTGAGGTAGAGATGATGTTAATGCCTCACCCTTAATGGAGTACTTGCACTTGGATTAGTATGTGCAAGCTCCCATTTACTGCCACTAGGTGCCATCCTTCCTTTCTGCCAACAGCACTCTGTGCCTGTTTAGTTCCTAAAATTTTGCAAAATTTTTTCAAGATTCCCATCACATCAAATCTTTGACGCATGCACGAAGCATTAAATATAAATAAAAAAATAAAACTAATTACATAGTTTAGACGAAATTCATGAGACGAATCTTTTAAGTCTAATTAGATTATGATTGGACACTAATTACTAAATAACAACGAAAGTGCTACAGTACCATTTCCAAAAAATTCGCTAACCAAACATGGCCTCTGTACTCAGTCCTCATGGCCGGAGCTGTGTTGTACCGGGCTGATGAATTCATGGGGCACCTTTCTCTTTATTTTCCCTTCAAGAGAGGGCCGGGAAAGAGACTCTTGAAGGCTGCATAAAGCTGCTGCCAGTAGCTTCGAACAAGAGCATGGAGATGGTGGCAAATACCTGGACCTTCTCTGCGTGTGCAGAGGATGCATGCCTTTGCCTACAACTCTAGTACAAGTGCAAGCTCATCAAGGTGGTGTGCGAGAGCAAACAGCACACTGAAATATCTGCGCTTAGTTAAGTTCGGTCAGAGATTTGATTGGCCAAGATTCTTACGACGTCGGCTCCTTCTATACCAGTAACTATAGCAACATTGTTCATAGGAGTCATTTTTTCTTCTCGCGAAATGGATTGTAAGCCAGGAGAAGCCACGATGTATGGCTCCTTGGTACTGTAGCGTGGAGCCAAACCCTGGTCTGAAAGAGCCCTGTCAAACTGAGTCTAAACAAGCTTCTATATATAGTCGTTAAGACGTCAAGTCATGTAGATTTCTCGAAATAGTAACTTTTTATTCAACCACATTCTATCATTTACCTATCACATCTCTTCATATCTGGACATAATTTTCTCTCTAAGATACTATTTTCTCCTCTCTTTTTTCGGGAATAACTATTTTCTTCTCTATCAGCTTTTTTTTACTAAGTTCCTCATTTTATAGGAATAGATATCTATATCTATATCTCTTATAAAGCTAATCTCCACTAAAAGTCTCTCAATATGCAAGCCATCCACATCATACCCCACTAACTATCCACATCATTTCCCACTAATAGTCATGTCTCTAACTTTCAACCTCTAATTGCAAGTTATCCACGTACATCATCTCCACTCATTTTCATCCCAAATTCTTCGTAATAGCCGCAGCAATGCGTGGAATATCTTCTAGTTTTGGTGAAAAAAACATCCTTCAGCAGTCTCTTTATATCTTTCCTAATTTTTGGTTGAACAAGTTCTCTCCAAAACTTGTTTGAAGAAGTTGTATCAAAAACTTATTTTCGAAGTTCTTTGCGAGACTTATGTTAAGAAGCCATTGTTAAAAAATATATATGTGGACAATTTAGCCAATTTAAACTTACGTTAAGAAGAAGCCGTATTGTTGAATTGCACGATCTCACCAAGATTTACGTTCAAGTTTTTTTTACAGCTCCGGGGTCTACTACCACGGGTAAGTAAACTAATCTGAGGTGAGACTCCATAGATCTCACGGCGCTCCAATGCCGAAGCGAGCTCCACTCCACACGAACACGCACAGGTAGGAATATTTGTTTTACCGCCCCCTGCTGCAGGTGAAGGTGAATCTCAAGGTACTCCGTAGAATAGAAACAGAGAGGCTAAAATGTGCGTGCTGGGCCCTGGCAATGTCAACGGCAGCGACGACTTGGTCAGATGAACGAGGTTAATTAATCTGGGTGGACGTGGATCGCCATAGATCTCACGGCGCCTAGTAGTAGAAAAGATTACCCACGCCGGCTCTGTCTCCTGGTTAACTAATCCTTGTACTCGCGCCGTTGCGTGCTGTTTTTTCACCGCGCGCTCGGGGGGGCTCGGAAGCTGTAAAATGGCGTGGGCTTGTTTAATAGTTTTTACCGGGCTCTTATTGCTTCTGCATGCCAGCTAGCGACGTGGGAATTTGGGAGCAGCAGCATGTTGAAATTTTGTGGTATTCAATCCTTTGTTTCCAAAGGGGCATATAGTAATATTTTCTTTTCAGGAACTACAGGATAGACGAACTCAAATTATACATGTATATTCACCCACTAGATAAATGCTCGTATGCGCTGCAATCGGAGCTATGAACTTTTTACTGAGCTTAGTAATCGGACGCGGACGCGGACGCGGACACATGAGTTTCGAGGATTTCGTATCAAAGTCTTGGTATCGAAACACTTTAGACACTGAGATCTTTACAATTTACCAGTATTGTATAATTTCAGATCATCGGACATGTAACATCTAGGCTTGAAATCCAATATTGAAGGTATGAAATCGAATATTCAAAAAATAAAGAGGAATAATGAATAGTTTTTGATTGAGAGATCGAAGGATAGAGAAATTAGCCTCACCTCTGTGCAACAGTTGCCGTGATGCAGCTCGAGCATGTACGTAGATTGGGAGGAGGGGCACCATGATGTTGCTGTGATGATCCCGTAGACATGTACGTGCCTTTTGGAATTATATTACCCGTACGTGCTTTCTGGATTTATAAATAATATGCCGAGGCCGCCGACCGTCTTCAAAGCGAACTATGTAGAAGTTTGTTCCGACGTGGACTCTGTACATAAGCACACTCTCTCCAGCCCCGTTTTGTGATTTCTTGGACTTCTGGCGCGGAGGTGTGTGGACTTGGGACTTTTGTGCAGAAATGCCGATCGAATAGTATACGGATTTGGTATCATCAGGTAGATGATTACTTTAGAGTTTTTTATTAGGTGTAGATGTAGAGATAAGGCCTTATTTAAATGTTGTCATTGCATCCAAATAAAATCTAAATATAGCATTGGAACCACGGGATTTTTATATATCATATAAATATACTTTTTTTTTTGTCCAGAGGGTCCTCCTGAAAGAAAGCGGCGATATCTGTCGACGTGGTCGCCGAACAAGGTGGGCGAGCATGGCCCGGGGACCGTACCGGGGTTCTAGACTTGTAGTGCGGCGACCACACGGCTTCATTGATTGGCGGCGTGCACGTAGGACTGTAGGAGCAGCCGAGGAGGCCGGAGTAAACGCCTGCGCCAGATCTGGCCATGGATGGAGGAAGGTGACCGCTGTTCATGGAGACCTGCGACGCGGCACGTGATGATCCATCCAGCCAGGGAGTAGAGAGAAAGAAGAGGTCGTCGATGCTGAATTGCTCATGCTCTGCGCGCGTCCTGCACGCAGTTCCTAGTGCCTATCCTCTGCCTCCGTTGTGCTGCTATCGATGAAGCTATATACAGTGCCATGCCCCGTGTGCCAAGTGTTAAGGCCTTGGTTAGATCACCTCCAAATTCCAAGTTTTTTCACTCTCTCTCTATCACATCAATTTTTAGACGCATATATAGAATATTAAATGTAGGTAAAAAAATAACTAATTACACAGTTTGGTTGTAAATCACGAGACGGATTTTTTGAGCCTAGTTAGTCCATGATCGGACAAAGTTTGTCAAATACAAACGAAACGTGTTATAGTGTCCAGGTTGCAAAAATTTGCAATCTAAACAAGGCCTAACTAACGCCCGTGCCGTGCACATCTGTCACCAAAACATTAAGGTCATGCACAAATACTAGCTTCCTAGTACAGTCCACATTATAAGACTTTTTGAATTTTCTACATACATAGAGCTATGTATTTTTTTCTAGGTACATGGTAAACTAAAAACAATACATTAACATTTTATAATCTGAAATGAATGGGGTATTAAATAAAATCATTCTCTCGGTCCTTCATGCTCTTATTCTCCCGTCCGTTTCTCCACTCGCCCAAGCATGAATAAAAGTCATAAACAGTTTGAACAAAAATAAAAGTAGTATAATGAAGTAATACTTCTTCTTGGTTTAGGTTCCGTCGGTGATCCGAACTCACAATCCGTGCATGCTCATAACAATTTAAAACAGTTTACATCTAGCCACGATAGTACGATACAAAGTCTAATTCTATAAGATGTAATACGAAACAGATGACACGACCGTTGCATATGTAAATAATTTTTGAATCACAAGTCATCATCGTCATCTAACTAATCACGTGTAACAAAGTGTGTACTACGTTGCATTGCAACTTTCAATATAATATAGGCAGATCCCTGCTGCCTAAATTATATTACCCCTGGCCTGGCCGGTGACCAGCATGCACCTCGCTAGCTAGCTGTCGCGAATAGACGATACCAGCACCTCGTCGCCACCAACGCCGACGGGTCTGTTCGCTGGTTGGTGCTGGCGCTGGTTTAGACTAATCAGTACTGGTTTTTTGTGCTGGACGTCTCGCAATGCACGTACGTACGGACCGCCGGCCGTCACACGCGTGCACTGCCCGGTTGTCCTTTGGCCCTGTAGTGTCTCCTTCGTGTAGCTCTAGGTAGGTACGTACGTACGGCGCCGACAGAGGTACTACGGCCGGTGTCGATTCATTACCAAGATACTACCGTACTGTA